CGGGGGGGCGGTGAGACCGGGCCGTGAGGATGGGACCCCTGGGGAGCTCTTTTTGTCCCCGGGGCTGGGCTTGTCAAGGCCTTGGGCAGGCTGCCACCCCCCATACTGCCTCCAGCCTCAATCAATGGTGCCCGCTGCCTGAACCGAGAAGCAGGGCTAGCCGTGCCCCGAGGCCAGGTGCCAGCAGTGGCACAAAGCGCAGCAGGATCAGCAGCAGGTACAGCACCGTGTATGAGACCCTGCAACAGCTGGCATGGCGTCTTCACCCTGCGAGGGCACCACTGGCCCAATAACCAAGTATACTGGAAGAGCGTTTGTTCCTGAGCTGCTCTGCCTGGATTCCTCTCAGTGCTTCACTGCCAGTCCAGTCTCTCTTCATGGCTCGCTATACCATGCAATACAGAGGGAAAGATGGACAGGTAGTCTTCTAATGTCGCCTTCATGTAGTCCTTGTGCTTTATGACAGTTTTTGCAACTTGGCACAGTAAGCATTACTGTTGGTTTTATGACATGTCACCATGTGTTTGTTTTCATTTGCTTTGTTTTCTCTGTGCTTTTGCCCTCCTCTTCCTCTCTGTGGAAGAGTACCAGTCCCCCTGCTTGGCTGTAGTGTGCTAGCAGTGTGAGGTGCCATGGTAAGAATAAAGAGCTTTTTGTGAGAATATGAGCACTGAAGTCAGCCTCCTAGAAAATCACACTCAGTGCCTGTGAAGGAGCCTTTGTTGGTGACTGCAAAGAGCAAAGGTCAGACAGAACCCTAATGGACCATGACTGCTAAAGGTTTAAATGTAGATATGAGGCAGGCCTTATCTCTGTGTTTGCTGGTCCCTGCAAAGCTGATTAAGAACCCTGTGAGTGTGTAGTTTCATCAGCATGGGATCTGTAAAATAACTAACAGCCAGTTCATACGTTTTATGTTATTTCTCCAGACATCAGCTTTTTTGTGAAGTGCAGTATCTACTGTACCAGATACCCTGCTGAACTCTGGAGGAGAACAGAACTGGAAGTTTTTATCCGGTCAGTGTAAAGTACAGAGACCCAAGTCTCCCAAGTACACCCAAGTACAGAGACCCAACAGCAACAGTAATGCACTGAACATCCCAGAATAAAGGGTTAATCAACAGACACATAATGTCACATCACCAAACCAGTGCTTTTTTGAGCGAATTAGGTATTTATTAATTACTCACCCACAATTAAAAGGAAATCCGAAACTGGGTGAGCATTACTGAAAACTGCAAAACTGAAAAGATGAAGAAAAAACGTTCAGATTCTTTTAACCACAGCAACACTGGGTGAATTACACTGCCTGGCACTGGCTGGTATGAGGTCACGAGGTGCCAATTTCAGATGGCAGTGGTTTAAATGGAAATGTGAAACTAGTTGCAAGCCCCCAGGAACGAGCTCAGTAGTAACGACTCTGGGACCCTCTGTTTGCCAAGCAACAGCGACCCCTGTCGCTCACTGGCCTCTCTCAGCCGGACACGTCTCCCCGACTCTAAAGCCTTCAACTTTTCTCATTCCAGGTTTTCAGTGAGGGGGAAAAAGAAGCCACCAGATTAACAACACATGTCTGGAAGGGGCTTGCGTCTCTGATTCTCCTGAGCCAGCACAGGAGTGCAGAGGCAGGTCAGGGTGGATGGCAACCCACTCTGAATGGGTTACACTTAAACAGAGAGAAAAGAGCTGCCAGCTCAAAATCAGAAGGAGGAAAAGGAGAAAACAGGCCACAATAGGCACTTAGAAGGAAGCCACAGAAGCAGCTCTGTGCCAGTGGAAAGAGAAGACTCCTGTGCAGCACAATGCGAATGGAAATCTGAGGAGCGTTTTTTTGTGCTGCTGGCTTTCCGCAGCCAGCAATTGCGCAGGGCAAGACGAGTGACTCAGATTCCAAAGAAATAGTTCAATCAGTCAAACAAAAAAATGGCTCTTGCCACAAGCGCTCCAGAGACGCATTCCGTCGCCTGCCTGGGCGCTTAAGGCAAACACAGTCCGACACAGAACGCATGTGCCACTGGTGCCGTCAGAGAGCCAGAGCGCCTCGTCGTGTCGTGTGGACAAGAACGGAGCGCTTTTTTATGAAACCAAGTTTTCGCACAATATTCCAACAAGAAACCTCTCTGCGCTGCGGCAGGGAAGGATTTTGGTTGAGAGGGATTTGTGAGCGCCTGTTCAGTCCTGTCCAACTGGGAAGAGGAAAGGAATCTCGGACAGCCTTGACGGTAGCAGACGGGCGATCTGCAGTTGGCCTCGTCCTGCTAGGAGCTTCTGAGGACTCACGGTCTCCCGGCAGGAGGGCTTCCCGGGTCCCCAGTTCACCGTCCTCCATCCACTTCCTGACCCCCTTCCGCCAGAGCCAGAGCCTATCCCGGCAAAACAAGGGGCGCAAGGCGGGGTACACCCTGGACGGGATGCCCGTCCACCCCCGGTTCACAGGCACGAGAAACCCACACGAACATGGGGAAAGCATACAAGCTCCACTCAGACAGCACTGTGGGAATCGAACCCGAGGCACCAATGCTGACCGCTGCGCCGCCCTGCCCCTGACCCCTGACCCCTCAGCCCTGATAAATGTGTTGTTTCGTCTCACAACGTCTCCCTCTTCAGAGTATAATTTCCACACATGGAGGAGGCGCTCCTGATCCGCTTCAGCCACCTGATGAATGTGGAGAGCGAGGGGCCGTCCAGAGGCTCGCTGGAGTCAGCTGTCCACAGCTCCCTCTCCTGCCCACACAGGTCCTGGCCCTTTCCACACAAGAGCAGGGATCCGGCCTGGACTCGTGAAGAGCACAAGACACACCTACGTCTTTAGATGCACTGCGCGCGGTCTTTTGGCCTATATAGAGAGACAGCGCACCACGAGCCTCGTTCTAAAATGTGAACCGACGATATTCAAGGCTGAGCGAATTCTGTCTCCTGCGCAGTCTTTGCTGTCCTCGAAGACACGACTCCACAACGATGTCTTCACAGCTTGTACGACCCATAGTGAACACCAGAAGGGCAGAGCCACGGGGGTGCATGGAGAGAGACGGATAAAACTTCCTCTCAAAGCACGAAAAGGGTGGGGAGGGGGGAGAGAGAATCAGATTTTTGAATGTCTTCCAGGAGAAGAAAAAACGAGAAACTTCCTTCTGAACCGCGGCCGAGAAAGGGGTACTATAGGACATTCCGGCGAGCGCGGCAGCGCGGTGTGAGGGGCGGCGGCGGTCCGTGAAGGAGGGTCGCGCCGTGCAGCGTCCTCGCCAGCCTGACAGCCGGGACCCCCGAGGAGCGCGCGGAGCTCCGCGTCCCGGCACGCGCGGGAGGGCACGCTCCGGCGCGTGGTCACAGCGCTCCGTCCAGGAGCCGGAAGCGGCGCCGCTGTGGCGTCAGGACCGACACGACAGGGCGCCCGAGCAGAACCGAGCAGTCGTCCAAACCAGTCCCAGTCTCCGGGGGCTCCTTCTACAATGCCGGATTGTTAGTGAATTAGACTACCTGGAACAGCTAAAATACCTAATTCTTCATTTGCTACGGCAATGACGTTTTTAATTGCATTTTTTTCTTCTTTTACTATAACGCAAAAGCGTGATAGGCGTGATGTGAGCTTTTTTATACGAGCTTCGGTGTTACTTCTCACATGGTGATTCTGACACGGTGAGCAAGAGTGGGCGTGACGAGTTTTGAAGAGAAGTGTTCAATGTGGAATGATTTTGGAAGACGGGAAATATAATTGATCTCAAACAGAACAAAACAAAAGGCTTCCTGTTGTGCTCCGTTCACTCGCTACACCTGTCGGTTCAGTAACATACCCCTTCAATGGTCAAGACGGTAATCGGAATTCCTCCCCACAAATATGTAAGACCGCGGGACAGACACAAACATGCCCCCGTTTCCTAACACGCCTGAGAGAGGGTGCCGAGACAGAGCGACAGTAATTAACCTGGATAGGTTTTCCTCTCTTGACTCGTGTACCAGCCCTCTCCCGCTGGAAAGGCAGCGCTAGAGCTGTCGTGCGCGACTTGTCAAACTCGCCAACCCACGGGAATGCACACGCGCTCCGGCAGAGGTAAATATCCACTTGAAACAGTGCCACGAAACCCTGGAATATTAGGAAAAGTTTCCCTTCCCTGGCTTTAGGAAATCGACCTAATAACGATTGCTCAACGCTGGCGAGTGATCTGAACACGCGGCTTCGGGTTTGCCAAGTAACGTCCTGTCGCCGATGGGAATATCTAATAAACACATCTGAGGAAAACGCGTCAGCGCTGCCTTACCCAGGAATTAATCAAGACCTCTGCGCATAGGACGCTCAGGCAGATGAGGCACTTTGCCCTGTACTTCTGCTGAATGTAAAGAATAGATGCAGATCGTATAGAGGGAAAGTGCCCGAGGCTCGGAAACGCACACAGCCCCAGACAAGGGAAAGTGCCTGACGTCTCCTCAGAGCGCGGCGCGCAGTGCCCGAGACAGACGCGTTTCTGAGCCCCTAGTCCAAACCACGCACTGCGCTCTGTGCCTTCTCACTGCCATATCAACATAAACCACGGCTTTCAAGCATTTTAACGACTGTTTTCATTTTCCATATGTGAAGAGGCATTAAAATGAAAGAGAGAACAAAATATTTTGGTGTAAATGTGCGAAAGGCTGGCTACACACGAAGACCAACGCTGATTAATATCTTGGCGTGAAAACAGTTCTAAAACTGCCATCACTAATTTTGCTCAATTAAGGCACCGTTTTCAGGAAATTAGATTGATTAACACGCATGAGTAAAAATAAAAAGTTATCCTTCAAAACCCTTTTTTTTCCTTACAAAACGGTTTAAACGGACACCACAGAAATAACGTGTGTTAAAACAAATGTGTGATTTGTATAAGAAACTGAGTCCTGGCTTCGCGACACAGACGCGGCGTGCTCAGGAATACCACGGGCCAGCCGTGAGCAGGCGTGTGCCAGAGCCTGTACCGGCCCGCCTCGGGAGCAGCAGCAGCAGGCAGACCGCGGCCGGGCGCGCTTACCTGGAACAGCCAGTGGCAGGTCTCTCCGACGATGGGGAATCCCATGGAGCCCTTCGGCATGGGCAGCTTGCAGCTCTTGTCCCGCGTGGCGGTCCAGCGCAGCTGCCACAGCTGCTGGGAGACTGCCAGCAGCAAAGCCACTGACACCAAGCACGCCGCCAGAGTCGCCAGAGCGGACACCAGGTCAAAACTGTCAAAAAGCATCGTGACGGCGGTGGAGTCCTGCGCTGTCTCTTGAGTAATAAAACAAAAAATCGCAAAAATAAAGTTCTTAAAAACTTGAAATGAGCAAATGGAACCTAGCAATCATATACTTCTTCAGATCACCTGGTAGCCAGCATTGTTAGCTTTGTTTTTATTTTGTGTTTTTTCTTTCTCTATAACTTTTCTCCTGTGTTAATGACTAAAGCTGCTCTTCACTGCGTCTAGTTTAAATCCTAATTAGCGGAGCACCTGATAAAACTGACAGAGATTGTGGAATAAGGAGTTATTGGAGAAAACATTTCAGCTTTAGTTCAAGACAGGTAGTTTTCTGTTTTCTGCAGTCAAATTGATCAAATTGATGATGTGTTTTTCGTCACACGCATTTTAGAAATTCAGTTTAGCCATATTCCTGCAAAGTTTATCCTCCTATATAATCGGGGCGGGGGCAGTTTGCAAAAAACGTAACTCAAAATAAGAAATAATTAAAATTAAGATGAACTAAAAGGAAAAAAGTTCCATTTCCTCCCAAAAAAAACTTTCTACTTTGTCCCCCGAATTTTTCAAATTGATTAAGTAGGATCTCGATCACCTATACAAAACAAACTGATCTGAGTCAAGTACAGTAGCAATAAATGTCAGGCTGAGATATATAATCCTTTGTAGCTCGCTCTCAGATGCTGTAGGCTACTATGTTTAAAATCTTCAGATGGTGGTGGAAAGTTAAGTCTCTCTCTCTCTACCTCCTTTCACTCTCTCTCCTCTCTCTCTCTCTCTTTTCACACACAGTCTCTCAATGTGAGATCGAGTCGCAGAGCGAGCCTCCACTGTGTGTTTATATAGGGGAGGCAGTGCGGCGGCGCGGAGCCAGGGCGCCCCCCCCGCTCCGAGGCGGGGTGGAGAGTGAGCGGCCCGAGCGCAGGAGCGTGCGGGAGCTGGACAGCGGCCCGGGGAGAGCGCGGGGGGGTGAGGTGGGGGGGCAAACGATCGGGGTTAATGCTTAAGAGTTTCTTTTCCCCGTCTTGAAATTTGGATTTCGCTCATCGGACGTTTCTGGGAGCTCTCGGTCTCACCTGGAAATGGGAAACGCGTCCGCGCTCAGATGACGAGCGCAAATGTCGCTGCTCGAAAGCGCCGAATCCTGTACCCGAGTTCACTAGGAGGTACAGCACGCCTTTACCCTGCCTCAGAGCAGCTCGGAGTCTGCATGAAGACAGAAGGGAACGTGACTAAGAGTCCCAAATGTTAGCGGATTACTTGGTGTTTACGGATTTATGCCGTAAGAGTACCGTTCCTTAACGTGCAAAAGGATTTTTTCAGGCAGTAAAATGTATATATTGTAATAAAATTAAAACTAGCTTCGTATAGAACTTTCCCAGCGCAAAGGTGTCACTTTATTCGCAGTTGTGTATTTGGATAATTAGGAATACCATCGCTATCTGCGTGTGGTAGTAGTACCCGGGGTTAGTGACATTTTCACTTCCATTATTTTTATATTAATTAAATAGCCAAAGTGGGTATGACGGGTCATTACGTTCTAAGCAGGATATATCACTAATACAGATCTTCACCCTGAACACATAGGGTACAATCTAATTAACGTAAGCATTACAGCCGCACATAAGTACAGTTTATCAGAGGGGTATTCGCAGCTTTTAAATGCACGTATACGGCATATATATATATATGACGTTAGCGCAAACTGAAAAACTCTATGGCGATAATTAGGCGCAATTGAGCATATAAGAGGCTCGTAACCAGCTAAAGGTTTTCAAACCATTTATCAGAATAACAGTTATATACTCCATACTCGCGTCCAGAATAACGGTAAATTAGCGCTGGTTTTAACACCATCCTCGCCGCTGCGTCGGCGGGTCCCTGGCGCACCTGACAGCAGGTACAGCCCAGCGCGTCTCTCGGTCCGGTACCGCGGAACCGGTCGGGTTACAGCGGAGCGCTGCCTCTGCGGGAGTACAGCATGTAGAAGCGGACCTTTAAGGACAGCTGGAACCGAGGTCTCTTCTCAGCGGTCCCCAGATGAGACATCTTTATTTGATATACCCTTCAAAATAAAATAATGCAGACGGTGACTTATTCCAAACTTTTAACTGCCTTTGTAATCTTTATTTCAGGCTGCGTCTCGAGCAGCACTTTGGTAGCAAAATCTTTAAATCAAGACAGCAGAGGTGCAGACTTTTCCGCGGGTTCTTGTCACTACAGAAAGCCTCAATATCAAGTCAATCAGCCCCTCGGGACTTTTGAACGGCGGGGACCCTGAAGTCATGTTGACCGAAACGAGTCTTAAACCCGTTAGTGTGAGAAAGCGAACAGCGCTTCTCTGCTAGAGGACCGTGAGACGAGAGGGTAAAATCCTTACATGTTTGTTACAATAAGGGTTTTTTGGTTGCAGTTCCAGTGTCCTGTCTTTTCCTTCTGATATTAGGATTTTGTTTCGGATTCGCTAAGGTCAAAGTAAATGTGACCCGTGTTTGCACTGCCTGCTCTAGGTGATTCAACTCATTTCGTCGCTTTTTACTACTCTGTTCTTCTAAGAAATCGTTTCAGTCTCCAGCAGCTGCTGGTTAACAGGGCTTCTCGTTGCCCTACACTGCTGCCTAGCGGCTCCGAAAAGTTTGCAGCCTCAGAAAGCCGTGCGATCTCTCCTCTCCCCAGCTCTGCGCTCTGGGACGGAATCGCCGAGCTGCGCAGCTGGACCGCCGGCCCGATCGCCTCAGTTCTGTCTGAAGACGGCGGTTCTGTCGTTTTAACAGAAATATACTATAGCCGTTATTTCACGATGGTGTTGTTTTTATTCATTCGCTTTGCGGTCTCTATTATTTCAATACAATAATGGAATTATAATAAATATATTATAAAAAAATATTACAATAAATATAGCTATATATGTTAAAAAAATAATGTGGCCATAGAGAAAAGAACAGGGAAAACTCTGTCTCTGTTCTGTAGTTTTCGAAGGGTTCCGCTGGTCATTAAAGTTAAGTTTACTTTTGAACACGTATTAGTCTTTGCCAGTGAAAAGCTAAAAGGTGAATTAAATCTAGAAGCAGCAGTAACACACTTTTATATAATTCTTGTATTTATTTATGATCATTTTATATCTAATTAAGCTTTGAAAATATCTCTAAGCTCCCCGAATGCGATTACTATCACAGCGCAATTTAACGCCTCTCTTAATTAACGGAAGGGTAATGACTGGCGCAGCTGCGGCCCAGAGAGAACTATTGGGCTGTTCGCGCGCACGCCTGAGAACTGCGATCGATCTGAAACTCAGTAAAAAGCTACCTTCAAACCCCGAGAGCAGGGCTGTCATTAACCCCTCCCTCTGACAAGAATGATGAAATGTCTTATTTTTTCCCTTTTCCGTGGGCTGCCCAGTCCGTTAGAACAAACCGTGAGAATAGAGTTACTTAACGTTGCGGCTGAAGCCCAGAAAGCCGACCCCACAACCTCCTGTACCTTAAGGCCAGTCAGGAGCAGAGCAATTAAAACGCATGAAGCGCGTCAGTATAATATCAAGGCAGAGATCGTGATAAAAAAATAGGGGACTGCTTATGCCAAAATATCATTTACTTCGCTATTCGCACATGACTTTATTCCAAAAGCAATCTCTGACGTTCATTCGTCCTTCGCGGTTTTTGTGTCGCTGGATTGTCTGAGGACTCGCCCGGCGCAAGAGCCCGTATATTGGTATGATTTCATTTCTGCGACCTCTCCAGCCTTGGGTCTCAGAAGCGCTGGCACACGGCCGTTCCACGGCCCGTTTATCACAGGCTTGTTTGCTGAAAGACCATTTTGTGCCGATTCTCTGCGTTAAAAGAAGTTGGTTTCGAATTTTCATTTTCTGTCAGAAGGGGAAACAAAATTAAAAAATGTTGTCTCTTCTGAACGTTATAAAAACCCTGTAGGTTTTTTTTATTCATATTGACTCGGTGTTTTTCATGTTATGGATATTAACACGCATTGTTATTAAGTAAGGCTTAAAGTGTGAAGCGCGATTTAAGTGCCTATTGCTGGATTGACTCCAACGCTTTCTTGCACAGCCCCCAGAGAGTGATCTAATTTCCCTAAACAGTAAGGAAATATGCATGTCTCTTATTATGGGCCCTGGCTGTGAGGAGAGGACAAACCATTCTCATGACTCAATGCAGAGACAAACAGCAAAAAGAAACACACCCTGACGAAGTACAGGCTAAGTGACCACAGCCTGGACACAGACACTGGACACAGACAGACCTGGCTGCCCAGAGAGGACAGGCTCAGTGACCACAGCCTGGACACAGACACTGGACACAGACAGACCTGGCTGCCCAGAGAGGACAGGCTGTGTTCCCACTGCCAGCGGGGAGAAACAGAGACAGAGGTGCACTTCCTACTGCACTGTGACAGATATTCTGGGATTAGAGAAACATTCTTCCCCACATTTACACAGCTAATCCACGAGTTCCCATACCTGCCAGAATCACAACGGGTCCCAATCCTACTGGTTCAACTCAGTTGAACTGGCAGCCCAGTATGTGATCTCCTGTCCCAGCCTGAGAAACAGTGAGTCTGTCTCCAAATAATGCTCCATATGTTTACAGTATACTGTATGTAAATATGTTATTACGTATTTGTTGTAAATGTCTGTAAATTGTCTGTAGATTTTATTTTATTTTGTGTTTTGTTTCATGTTAATTGTATTCTTATTTGCTTTGGCAACACTGATTGTACCCATCGGTCATGCCAATAAACCATCTTGAACTGAATTGAAAATTGTCTGGTGCACCTGCAGGGGAAGAGGACAGCGAGACAGACGACTACAAGGCACCGATGGGCGACCTGGACTGCGGGCCGGGCCGCTGCCGTGGCGTTCAAGCCCGCCCAAGCCCGCTCCAGGCCCGGCCCACCAGGCGCCGCGGACCGCCGGGAGCTCCGTGCGGCCGAGTCTCTTTTCAAGACGAAGCTGTTTTGACCTCGCCTCTGGCGTTCACGAAATTAATAGCTGACTTGTGGAATTTCTCGGGAGACACGTTGTACCACGGGTTGCAAACCTCTACCATAGATCGCGCAGTAATTTCGATTCAAAGACTCATTTCGCGCTGGATTAACACTTCAGTAAACCACTTAAATTCGACGGGGGAGCTGCGACACTTTTCAGGCTGTAAAATATGTTTTTGTCTTCACTTTTCAGCGCGGAACTAACCTCTTTGTTCCCCCAACAATTATGTTTACTTGTCTAATGTTAATGGAACTCGCATCAAATCACCAGAAAAAAGTATTTAAATACTACAGGTAAACAAGGTCGCCAAGACTGATACTCGGATAATTATTTTGAAGAAAGAATACCAGCATCAGACTATTAAGTAACTACCGTACTATTTACCGTACTATCCGTAATATTTCTTTGTACAAAAGATCGCCCCCAAAATACTTACTTCTCAAATATTTTTAAATTCATCGCATGCGATTAGTATTTTCTGGCAATTTTACTCTTCTCTTACCGAAGAACAATGAGACAATGAACATTGATCGCCGTTTCCCGAGCCGGGGTGCACAAGCGCGGCACTCGAGTTTGGTAACAAACGCCAACAGCTCACAGCTCATAATTTAACGTTGATAGTTCGTATCCAGTTTTTGGTCAACTTTGTCTATTACAATTATACAATTAAATAACATTTTCTTAAAAGTTAAAATATTATAGTTTACATTTAACTGCAGCAACAATTTAATGCAGCGCAACGTCCAGAACAAATACTGTAGATGTCACTGCCGTTTTCATTGTTAATTAGAATGTCTGGATGACGTTCTGAATCTGCTGTGCTAAATAAGGCTTCTGGATTATATTTATAGACGCAATTAATATCTGCCTGTTGCTAGGTTTGTGACATTGCGTGACCCATATCCCTCGATCTTTTTTCGGCAATAACCGTGCTCACTGAGCGAGGCTGTTCCCACCTGTTGAACTACACCATTGAGCGCTCAGGTCTAGAACATTTGATTGAACGATTCTCCGTTGTCTGTGCTTGGTTTATGTTTAGCAACTCGTTGTTATTAGAATCTCCATCAGATATTTCTGGACCTAATTCTTCCAATTTAATATGCTAAAATACAGTTTATATTTTTCGATTCACTGACCTGTGAAAGTATTTCTCGTCAACACAGAACACGTGTGGCGAGCGGATGACAAGAACCAGTACGGTTCGACGACGCTGGGTTTGGGTTTAAGGACAGCTGCAGGACTCTCCATTGCACATTGGTCCGTTTAATCGACACACGAAGTGCCGAATGAAATTTGGAGGCGTTTGTCCGAGACAACCTGGTTTAGAGTCTGCAGCTTGTCACAGGCGCTCGGTCCTCTCGGATGTTGGGACTCAAAGCATTTACCGTCTTTAAACAGCCGTCTTCCGATCCGCATCAAGTTACACGAAGCTAGACAAGTGGATCGCGGAGGGAAAGTGTACATAAACCATTCCCTGACATTTAATCCGGGGCTGACAGGGCGAGTCAACCATCAACAAGGCTACAAAGCTCCTTACAGCGCTGCCTGGGGCTTTTTATGTACCAGACCTGGCGAATAGCGACTTTAATTCATATGGGCATCAATGCGCCGGGGCCTTGTCTCGCGGCGATTTGTATACAGAGCTTTTCAATGAAGAGTAGAACGCAGGCGGAAATGAAAGCCTGAATATTTAAGTAACTCATTTAGTCCGAGTTACTGCGCTAATATTTAGTCAAGTCTCCCGAAATTTGAGTTCACGCACTTGTATTCGCAGGACTCCCAACTGTCAGCACACGAGCAGCTTGTCCGGTCCTCTGAACCCACAAACTCGGACATCCGGGTGAAATTCTGGCTGAGGTCTGCTGTCACCACGTTTGTGTTTTACTGCGCCTGGGTTGTACTTGACTCACCGCAACAAACGCAAAGATGCCTAACAGCGTTTACAAACCGCGCCTCACTCGGGACGTGCTCCATAACGCCGAGAGAGAGGCGAGGAGAGACTCGTGTACCGAGGCTCTTTCAGCTGCTAAGAGGTCGAGCCGTGCTGACTTCTGTGACCTTCGGACTGGAGGACTTTAGTTCTAAGACAACACAGACATAAAATACAACCCGCCTTGCTAACTCGCACTCTTGTTTTAATTTCATTGTAATGATGTGTTTGCGCGCAGGGTGCAGCGGAGCGGCAGAGGAAAGGCGGACTGCTGGTCAAGATCAGGGCGCGTCTATAATCTAGACCCGAGTGCGAGCACACCAGTAAACCGCCATTTACAGCTTTTTCTGCACTGGCTGTAGATTGATTCGTCTAACGCACTGGTTCTCAGCCCCGGTCTAGCGTGACTCCCGTGTCCTCTGCTTTTTGTTCGAGGGGAGCTCTTTAATCACAGTCTAATAGACTTCAGGGCTCCGAGACCCTTTTTTATATGTGCTTTCGGCTATAGGACCGTTGAATGCGATTCGTAATCGGCATCAAGCCTGTACCAGTTTCTGAGTTTCAGAAGTGATTATATTCAGGTGCGCTCGCAGGTGTGATGGCCGGAAAGTGGGGACCAGCTCATAGCGGTCTGGACAAGATTGAGAGCACATTCTCGGTGAGCGGCTGAAAGGATACAGCGGGAAGTTCTATGTCCTGAATGTGCTTTTGAGATAGAGTTGTTTTTTTTTTTAAACGAAGGCCTGTGTGCAGAAATGTTAAGAGTGTAAACAAGCAATCATCTGAGGCATCAGTCAGCAGAAGTGATTACAACTCAGACCTAATCGATTGTTTACGAATAAAGCCGTTTCATGCACCAGCGTGTATCCATTGCACAAAAAAACGGTATCAAGTCGAGTAGCATCTGGATGAAACCCGGTGGCCTATATTCACAATGCGTTTTCCGCAATTTGGTGTCGGTGTATTATTTCGTTAAGTTAAGCTCATGTAAGTCATTAGTTTAATCAGGTACTGATTGAAACAGGTACAGCACCTAAAAAGGAAGTATGCGCGCTGTGACCTCCCGGGTGTTGGCTGTAATGGTGACGTTATTCTGTTTTTAAACGTGCCCACAGCTGTGGATGTACAGCATGTTGGACCCCTTATGCCAGGTGCGCTTTCAGGTCTGTGCTGGTCTTGTTTCAGTTTACTCCCACCGGAAATACACTTTCTCCGAAAGGAGGCGAGAGGAAAGAAACTGAGTGGAAGGGAAGATCTCCCGTGGCCGGAGCTGTCCGTGGAAACACGCGTGGGAATCGTTTAGCCTCCGACAATCAGCCACACCCCCCGCCAAGTGAGCTGCACTTTAGCGCTTCTGCATCCAGCTTCTGAACACGCTCTGTCCCTAGTGCTTCCTCTCGTTATCCACCACCATCAGCAGCAGTTCTGTTAACTGGGACTGGGAGGATCGCCATTGATCACGGCTGTCAGTGTCAGGCTTCCGAAAACCCACAGGCGTCCGCGCGCGACCTCGACATCACGTGGACTCAGGAGAGCTCGCGCACACTGTACTGGATATACATTACCAACTAAAGCGCTAAAGAGTTAAACACAGGACATCTTGATGTCCTGGACATCAGAGAATTAACACAGCATATTCACAATTCCATTACAGCTTAATGTTGATTTTCGAGTTAGGGTTTTCTTAAAAATGACCTTTTCTATTTTTTTTTTAATGAAACGTATCTACTCTATGTGTACTTGTGGTTAAGAACTTTTTAAACTTGGTTTTAAAGTGTGGGTATGTTTACGATTCTGTTCTGTTCTGTTCTGAGATTTACCCCTCTTATCAGCTTCTTCCTGTGTGAGAGCGGAGTGCCGTTTTGCGGCATACACCTGCTGGCATTGAGTTAACCCAGCAGATCCATCAAGTGCTGAGAAAGCATCAAGCGCTTCCCCACAGAGTTTGCAAAGCTATGACTTTGCTGAGTACACGGAGTTATTTCGTGTGTAAGTAAACCGGTATCTCAAAACGCTTTAAACGAGTTAGTGTGGGAACGAAATGCCGGGCGCTCTCGCTGGCGAAAATAAACGTGCACTTACCTCACCGCGGGCGCTCACTCCGTCAGCTATTGTGATCAAACGTCACTAGGTTTGTGTCAGAGCCTGAGACAATCCACCGCGTTTTATACATACAAGAGTTCCCTAGAAAACACCCACACGTGTGACGTTTCCTTCTTTTAAATAAACTACATATCCTCAACCAATTTCTACCTGCACCCCTGGGGGACAGCATGAGGCTGAGACCCTCGCGGTCACACTAAGCGCCGCGCAGGTTGAGACACAAAGGCGGTGGAGCGTTTCCCTTGTTCCAGGCTGTAGCTGACCCAGAACCGCTTCTGCTCGGGAGCTCGAATGTCGTTTTGTGGATGGGCTTTGAAAAGACACGGAAACAAGAGTTCTTTTTTTAAAAAAAGAAGTTTATCGAATTACACCGTATGACAAAGAGCTTAAGTAAGTTTGCCTAAACATAGACAATCAAAGAACTTTAAACTGGGGCTGAGAACACTTTGGCTTTTTCAGACAGGTTATAAAGTAAAACATATATTGGCACTTTGTAACCTAGCTATAATAAT